ATAAACCCTAAACAAACACATTGTTCAAACAATATCCTGTATCCTGAAGATATATTTTTAGTCCAGTTCGATGTAGAGTCGTAAAATTCTTTATTATATATATGGACATAAGCGGGAGTTAATTTTATGGAAAACTATGTAGTAATAATGAAATTTCGATACTTCGGCCCCAGTTCAAAGAATAGGAAGTCACTTTCGCTTTGATTGTTGTTTTATCGCGATATCGTAAACGAATGAAAGAAAATGGGTCGAGATTTAACGAAATATATCCACAATCTTATTCAATCCTACAGTACGTTTTTCTCAAAGGATTGACAAGCGTGGGATTCACTAATTGATGGAAGGTGATTATGCGCTATCGACCTATTTCGACATTTCAAATTTCAATAGCAAATCCAAACACATATATATTTCACATATGTACATATGTACGTGTTTAGAAAATTAATTATTTAAAAATATGTTAGACTCGATGGACAAGGAACCTACGATCACGGGTATAGCCATACATTGCTAATCGATTTTTAACTTTGAAATTTATAAAAATACGACACGGGCATTATTCAATTCATATTCATTCATCATTTCAATTTCAAATACATTAAAAAAAGAATATGATATCAAAAAAATCACTATATAAAACAATTCACTCAGCGTAATACTAATACAGCAAAGATAATAACGAAAATAATACATACAAAAGCATAATTAACAATTACAAAATGTGCTTATAAATACGTAATATATTTCTTTATTCGTTATTTATATAGAACAAATAGTAAGTAGTAATTTGTAACTTCTTGTCAAAAGAATATTATTTTTTACTGAGTAAAATTATTGTCACTACAAAGGAAACACGACACGTCGTCCTAAAGGAAGAAGAAGGGAGATAAAAGCATACAAAAGCGTGGAAATACTGCATAATTAACCGCCTCAATTAACAATAATACATGTCAATTTGAACGCCATTTTTCCATTCGAAAACAAACAGACGTCGTACGTGGAACGTGTTTACCATTCTGTCGGATCTATAATTATGAAATAGTTATTTCAATACGGTGAACTTCTACCTTTTATAACGTATATTTAAATAAAACACTTTTAACGGTTTAAACGCTATATGAGCTAAAATATTTTTAATTTATTTTAAGTACTACCCGGCGTTCGGCTGTTGTGATCTACCTCCAAGACTTTACTATTATCAAAAGAAGCGCCAATGTCGTGTAGATTTTATTTATTTTTTAACTTATTACGACACATTACACAATTATAATATTCTATTATAAAACAAAGAAGAAATATAAACTTAAAGAACTGTTTACCTAAATTGAAAAAAATTACGGGCGGGGTTCCTTGCTGCTGTTCTTTTGACCTGCCTTTCTTAGTTGGACGAAGGTTAAAATATAACCCACATGTAACCTACTATTAAACATAAATGTTGTTTAAGTATTTGTAATAATTATGAGAAATAAACGTAATTTTCAGTACATGTGCAAGTTTATGTACGAATGAGTACTAGACATTTTTTAGCATAAAATGTAGTAAAGGAAAGTAAAGTAAATACTGTCTATAGTTTACGCGAGTAGTACGCATTTAAATAAAACACTTTAACGGTTAAAAAAGCGATATATTAGTTATTATCATTCTCAAATAAGTTTAACTAATATATCGCGTTTTAAACCGTTAAAGTGTTTTATTTAAATGGAACGAAAAGTAGCTGAAATATTTTTAATAAGGACGATCGACACTCGGTAGCTTAGTTGCTTAGTATGCTACTATAGTTACTATAGTTAGTAGGATCGATCTCGCTCGTGTTATCGTATATTTTTGTTTCTAATGAAGTATCTTTATTAAACGTAGGTAAACTGGCATAAAAGGTTTTTTTTTATTTTGTTATTAATGAAATACGAGCCTTTTGTCATTTTTAACAACTATTTTTTATTTACAGGTATTTCATTCTACTATTCTCAACGTCTCACTACAATAATCAAGTAAGAACAATGTTATAAATCGGCTAAATAAGTCCGTCGCACGAAACGAACAAAGGAGTTTATTCCGGACACACCCAATATATTTACGACCAAAATCAAGCTGCATTAATTAGAATACATATTGAATTACGGATGGCGCCTTCAAACATTACAAAGCCATTTTGTCTCTGGTCAAGTGTTACCAGACGTCTGCCCGCCATAGACAATAATATCTTTGTGGGCAGCACTGGCCGCATAAAGCCCATTGTAGCCGAATCAATTAAACCATAATGTGCCCATTGTGAAATGTACGTAACATTGTCCTAATGTATCTCACTCGCGTATCGTAATTTTTATAGTTCTATTTACGGTTCAACTGAATTTATTGGGCAGATAAGTTTCAGTAGCGGTTCGGTTTAGTGTTACTTATTCGGTTGCACGATTTATCGCTTTTGTTGGAGCCGTAAAAAGCCACAGATAAGTGACGTAGCTGGGTTATTTCGGTGTTACCTGATTCAATTAGGGCGAAAGAAAACAGCGGTATTAAGTGTCACCTGCTGATAAGTTAACGCGGAATATCGTGTTCCACTAAAAACTCGACTTCAAAGGGACGGTGCATTGACTCGGTCTTAGATATTAGAATACGTACTCACGGGACGTCATTGTGGAGTAACCTTAAACCGCCACATGTGTCACATATCGGCCAAGATTGCCATATGTGAAAAAGAGCAAAAAAAGACAAAAATCCGTTGTCTTCTCCCCAAGGTAACAATGCGCGGTGGTTCAATTGAATTTGCGACCTTAACGATAGATAATAAAACTTAATTTACGATGCAGATGTGTATTGGGACAGAGATTTTCGGGACGATTTTTTGTCCTCTCGTAACCTTTAGCTTCTGACATGGATTGTAGATTAGGCATATTGTTGATATTTTTTGCTTGCAGTTCAGTTGCACGTGATTTAGATTTTTTTGTCGCGAAGGGTCTTTTGTTTTTGTCGTTGATTGTACAAGATTTTGCATGTGTGCCATCTTCGAGAGTGTCATTTGCGAATGTCAGTATGTTTCCTCTCGAATTCTTAATGGACGTAAGGTCTTCCACTACGTTGTCCACAGCTAAACATTATTTTATTTCTGTAGAATTTTTCTTTATTTAGTTTACTTATTAAAGATATATAGGAAAACCGTGAACCAGAATTGGGGGGGGGGGGGGGGGGGGGGGGGGGAAATAAAATATCTCATATATTTTTGAAATACCTTAAACAGTTAAAGCCCGAACGTAAATAATTTTCCCAGATAAAAAATGAGAACCTCTGGTCAGTGTATAAATCGAATGAGATAAACGAATTACTATTCTGGTGATGCCAACGGAAGTTCTAATACTGTCGTGTCGCGGGCGTGGCCGTTGACAAAATTAATGTTTTATTATGAAACAATGAACGGAGTGGTGGGTCTGATAAATGTGATCTAGTCCAAATGAGAGATGCTACCGGTGCCGACAAGGATTTACCTTTTTTAATGAGTAACTGTAGTTCATTGTTAATAAAACATTTTTAACTGTTTAATTTTTTTTTTGTGATTTTGGATGTAGCATGATTTTTTTTTTGGGAATCTTATACTAATTGTAAAATTAAGGAAATGTTCCTTCTTATAACTTACGATGTTTATTTTTTTTTAATAAAAAACAATATACAATATGTATTATCTTTTTTACTTAAAAATATAGTAAAAGATATGTATTATATATAAATTAATTACTTTAAATAATGTTAAGTATAACACGATTAGGTAAATCAAAAATAAACAAATATGTTTAACGTCGCGAACAAAGTCGCCGTCTCATACTAGTCACAAATGATTATGAACACGTGTTCTTACGACTAATAAATGACATTACAGACAATACTTGAAAGCGTACAGATCGCTGGTAAAATGGGCATCCGTTCTGATTTGGGGACAGGATATTTTTTATTAAAGCGTAACGGAAACAACGCAATAATCTTTTATAGTGACAAAGTATATTTCAATAATAGGCACTTTGATGTTATTCTCCTTTTTATACATTTCAATAAATGATAGAGGAGGATGGAAATACGTGGGGCCTGTCTGTCCCCCTCTATCCCTATACTATTATACACACTTGTATAGAAGGTGATATATCCTTAAATACTGTCTATAGTTTACGCGAGTAGCACACATTGAAATTATATTAAATCGGTTCGACGCTTTCGGATGCTTTGCAGCAGCCGTGGTCTCGCGTGACACCTGCTGCTGCAAAGCATCCGAAACGTCGGACCGAAGTTAAAAATCATTTTCAAATAAGTTTAACTAATATATCGCGTTTTAAAACGTTAAAGTGTTTTATTTAAATGTGTACTACTCGCGTAAACTACTTGTAGAAGTTATATCCAGATTTCCAAATTATCTCCACCATGTTTGAAATATTTTTTCAATTTCAACAAGTAGTTCCTGAGATTATCGAAAACAAACAAACTATTCGGCGTTGTAACTTAGTATATTTTAGAAAAATCACTTTAACGGTTTAAAACGCGATATATGTGAAACTTATTTGAAAATTGTTTTAACTACGGCCCGACGTTTAAACTGTTAAACGGTTTTATTTAAACGTGTATTACTCGCGTATACTACAGACAGCCTTCGATTGTTACCAATACTTCCTACCTTTAGACTAACCGTCAAATCTGGGACGAAAATATTCTTGATCTATCCATCATAACACGTATAACGAAAATGTCCCATTATGCTGCCCTAATTGGGTGCGAAGCAACATTCTAAGAACCACCATTCCACTATTAAAGGTGGATGTGTCTGCCATCTCAAATTTATGAGCGAATCTCCGCGATGTTACGAATAAAAATAATAGAATTGTCGTATCTAAGAATACAGTGTTTCCGTTCGGTCTATTTCGGTATGTGAATATTAGAAGGTGCGCAGGAGTTTAGTATCGCAATAATTGTTAATGTTAGGACTGTTTAATAAGCATGGTGTTAATCGTATTTAGGTGGTAACCATGCTTTATAGGTTAGTTTAGTAAGTAAAGGTAGTTAGTGAGTTATGGCTGTAACATTATGGTGGAAAAGTGTGAATACCATTCCCCTCGTGAACACATTCGGGCGAACACATTTCTGTGTCTTGTTTTACAGGTAAGTAGGTATTTGATCTCTGTCTGTGCCTTTTGTTTTGTGCAATTTTGTGTATTTCCCTTTTAGCCAACAATCGTATGATTATATGCTATAGTTTTCGCAAGTAGTAGAAACATTTTTAACTGTTCAAATCGGGAAATATATAAGTTAACTTACCTTTAAAAAGTGTTATCTACTGACCGACGTTTCGGATGCGTTACAGTAGCCGTGATTACGGGGGTACCGAAAAAACTACTTAAAATCATTCCTTCTTCTTACCTTCATCATCGTCGGATAAAACACGGTTACCATGGTAACCATTATCGCGCTTACGTAATTATAAAATACATGTATACTTAGTAAGACAAGTAACCCAGCCAAGGCACCACAATGCAAGTCATCAGGGAAAACCCGTTTCGAATCTATCAAAGCGAACAATGAAATCTCGAACAATTCCGACAACGCGCGTCTTAATCCGCGCAAACGAGCCAGTTCCACAGAAACAAAACTAAATCCGATGACTAATGCGTTCTCTGTCTCCCTCGCACTAAACAAAAGGGCATATGTGATAATGATGGATGCTGCCGCGGCTTTAAAAGAAAAACTCCCGTACCCGATGTTTCAAAAAGGGGGTAATTTCGGTGACACATTGTTCCCGGTCGATTAAGAATTGCCTTTGATTACAGAACGAAGAAGTTTTAACGGTTTGAAACGCGAAACCTCTTAGTTTATTGATATATAGTATGTTTCCCCTTTAATTTAAAGGTGTTTATTTAAAATAACTTTTAACTAACCGCCGACGGCTGCTGCAAAGCTACCAAAACGTCTGGACGTAGTTAAGATAAATTGTAAGTACTAGGTTGAGGAATATATTTCGTGTTTTAAACAGTTCTGTATTTTTTAATTAACACCTTTTTACTCCTGTTTTAATGATAGATTTTGTTTTGTCTAACTATGAACGAAGTCATACTTATTACTGAATTATTTTAAAACCTTCGATTATTACTTTGGTTGAATTTATAAGAATTGCGGAGTTTCCATGTTACATATTATCGAGTATATTTTGGTACAATAAAAACATCATCCAAAATTCACTTTCTGTTCCAATGAAGATATAACCACTTCTGTTTTATTGTTGCTGCCATATTTTATGGCTGGATTGTGTACGGATTTAGACTTTAATGGAGACCTTTCATTGGTTGAGCCAGTTCTACTATCGAACATGATGTATCGGCTCAATATAAAAATGTTTTAGTGCATATTAATAACTTTTCTATGATAAACGAAGTGTTTTCTGCAATGTTTTTGTATGAAATCGCGTTCGCGCCATTATATTCCGTGATTTTGAAACTAGAACTAGTAAACGATTATAGGTTTCTGTGGTACATCGCATGACGCAACATGCAGCCAGTATTTTTTGGTAGAAACGTCAATTCTGACAATTGACATTTGTTGAAGATCGCCATATTGTGTTCTAGTTTCAAATAATCTAATTTACGTGTTCAAGGATTTGCAACAGTAGAAACGATAAGTGACGTAATATGTTAACGTCAAAGTAATAAAAACGCAAACAATTAATTTAACAATTATTATTGTACAAAACAAACATCAAATACTGATAAACATTATAAGATAACTAATTAATGACAATATAAAACTTACAAAATAAATATAAGCAGTACGTACCGCCTACATTGACCATCGTAAGAAAAAAACACTTTTAACGGTTTTCAACGCAAGATGGAATATATTATGACCCCGTGACGAAGACTATCTTCAATACAAACAAATCGTTGGGACATGTTTACAGAATAAGTTTACTTACATATTTCGCGTTTAAAACCTTTAACTTTAATAAATAAAACTCTTTGAATTGTTTCGATCTACCAGAGACCGTTAGTTAACTAGTGACTAATACTTACTGCGGCTGGCTATGCTGCGTATGAAAACATATTGTCCATATTAGTTACATCACATATTTTGCACGTTTTATCCCGAGCCAAGAATACCAGCGATGTCAAAAGAAAAATAAAAATTCCTGTTATGTTCACACGTACACGAAGCAGGTTTAATAAAACCGTAATTAATATGGCTTTAAAGAATTACTCCCGTCATGTTATTAGTCGTATATTTTAACAAGTACTCAAATCGCAATTTGACACGCATTATCTTTTTATTGTTACCAAACAACGTTACAGTGCGCCAACTAAGAGACATGACGTTGTAGATTCCGAATAAAACATCAAATAAGCTTACACAACAATAACTATTGTGCTACCGTTGCAATCATTAGTATAGATGACGTAAATATTACTTCAAAACATCCGACGAACTAAGAGCCAATCAAGGTGTAGACGCACACAATGTTATGTCTATTAAAGACGTGCGGTACGGAGGGGCACCAGACAATGTCAAAGAACGTAATGATCCGAAAGAGTGGAAGACGCGTGAATGCAAAGAACGAATGAATATTACAAACGTTCAATCGTAGCCGCCTCTTTGTCTCGAACAATGTGCTCGGTCAAGGACTTGATAGTGAAGGACAAAGGGTTACCGAGCGAAAAGGAGCACATTTTAAAATGTTTGCGGTCGCTACCCATTGTGGAGATATTACAAAACTTACGCGAAGGGATCGTAGGCAAGAAGGATACTACGCGAACACAGAACGGATTGTATCAAGTATGTTAGACCTTAGATTAGTGATTTGAGAATCAAAGAGGTAAAATCGAAGCCGGACCGAAGCGAGGGGTAGTACAATGTCGGTGAGGTCCAAACAAAAACTGACAACACAATACCGAGTGGTCCAACAACAGTGGCCGCTCATAAATCAACCTCTGACAAAAGTAACAATGGTATTGAGGGTACCTTATAAGAGATCTTAGTATTGTGTTTATTCTTTGATGTTCACTAATAAAACCTTTGATTAATATCGTATAGAACCAGTATGCAAATAATAGGACGAGAATTCCTTCGGTAGTCGGAACACGTGACGGGGATCTGACAAAGGAAAGAGCTACATCTCACTCACAATGCTTTTGTTGATCGGGACGCTCCAGTTCTGGTCTATGGTCTGGTATGTCGAAATAAATTGACCAATTTTCCATCGGCTTCTAAGAAACACGATGAAGATGCTCGTTTTAGTTTCACTGACAGCCTGTCATAAGTGTGATATTCACCTAAATTTCAGGACTGACGTAGAAAGATGATAGTGTTTATTCGTAATGTTTATTTTACTGTGATTAGCTTAACGATCGTGTCTTGAACCTGAGGAAGCGGGTTTGATTTCCTGTCTCATTGGAAGTGGATAGCAATAATTAAAAAATATTTTGATATGGGTCAGACGACTGCTCGACCCCGCCGACCCGTAGATAACGTTAAGTTTTTGTGCGTCGATCGTTTTATTGTTTCCAATTCTGGTGGCACTATCAATGAATTGTCTGACTAAATTTAGGTTAGCTTGATAATTGTGATCTTTAGTCTCTCGTTCGGGTATCTATTTATGGAATTTAACTATGGGTTTTCTATTTTTAGTGGTTTATCAGACTCGTAAGTAACTTGAAAATGTTCAATGAGTTTTTGGTCTGTTTTATTTTTATAAAGTTAAATGTATGCGCAACGCAGTACTTATAGAAAAAAGTTATTTGGTCAAAAAGTCTGATTATTACTAATACTATATTCTTTTCAACATGTTTCAAAAAAATTAATAGGTATACTCTGCCCCACTTTTAATAAATAATGAACATATTTTGGAGTTCTTTCACTTGACGTTATAAAGGGTAGATTCAACCCTAATCCTAATTTGATAATAGGTTCTAATAAAAACCTTGTTGTAGATAGATTTATAAAAACAAATACTGTCTATAGTTTACGCGAGTAGTACACATTTAAATAAATATGTCTCCCCGTGACCACCTACTGCAAAGCATCCGAAACGTCGGGCCGAAGTTAAAAATAATTTTCAAATAAGTTCAACTAATATATCGCGTTTAAAACCGTTAAAGTATTTTGTTTAAATTTATAAAAACAATAGCATTATCATATGTTCCTGTCTTATCACACTTTTGCCCCATTGTTACATTCTACATTCCCAACAGAAACGCGATTGTTTAACTTATCATTTATTAAATAGAATTCGATGAACGGGATGTGTTTATTATAACAAATGTGCTCTGAAATCAGCGTCTGGCGTGTTTTATAGAAAATTAAAACATTCGGACACAAAGTTAATGGAGTAACATCCGTTTCCTATTGCAGTGAATTCGCTGTTTGAACAGTGCCCGATTTTCAATGGAAACTATTTCTAAAGCTTAGCGTGTACGTTGTATTTCGTTCATTAATAGGGGATTTTGGTATACAAAGTAAATAATTACAGGATTAGAATTCCTCGACGCGGGGTTGACATTGCCTAGAGATAAAAAGTATATGTGTTATTTCAGATTGTTAACTACTTTCAGAATATGAATTAAGTACTTACCTTTGTGTTAATAATATTACTATACACAAAAGGGAAATCCCGTTTCTCCCCGTGAAGAAGAAGAGGTGTGTGCTGACCGAGCGGAAGAATTTGTTGTTTCTTAAGCATTCGAACTCAGGAGCCGAGTCCAATATGTTATCACTTTAAAATCTGAATATTAAATAGACGGTAGGAAATATTATCCGTCATCTACAGACAAAAAGCCGTGGTGCTTACTCGTCTTCTCTGGGTATATTGAAAAAATTAATAACGAAACCTAAATATTTCAACAAAATCCTAGTTAAAATCTAAAGATAATGACAGTCGGCTTGTACGCAATAATTTTATTTCCCCGCTTTGTTCCCCTTCAAAGCGTGCCAAATGTTCGGTCTATTTGTAATTTGTATAGATATAATTCTCACATCAAATACGTTTTAGTGTTATAAAAATTTCGCCTCGTTTGCTTTGAGATATTTAATTCGCTCACGGATTGTTTCATTTGTTTGTATACGTATTTTTGCTTTAGTAAAAACACAAATATAGTCACGTATGACATTGTAGGATATGATAGCTCAATTGGTTAAAGTAGCACGACACCCTATGAATACCAGATCAAATCCCGCCCCTGTTGCCAAATTTCATCGTAATACATTTTTAATGTAATTTAATTTAATGTTTACTATTTAATAGTAGTTCAGTTCATATCGAGTTGTTTAAAAGTTAAATTGTTGTTTTTATTAAGAAAAACCTACGTATCGAATCCCCTATCTATAGACGCAGGGCGTGAATACAGAAATGGAAATAATTTTCCTCCGAAAATAAATTCATTTAGAATTTGCATTTGCCATTTTAAAACTGTCATTCCTCATTGCATCATAAAAGTAAGTCAAATGCGTTGTCCGTACTAAATCACGAAGCAATAAGACGTGACAATAAGAATAATCTCGTGTTTACTTTACGTTCAATTTGGCTGCGTCTGCGCAGGCGTGATTTGTACGATTGTCAGATCCTCTTTGATTGTTCACAAACACTTTTGTGATGTTTACAGACTGACTTGTAAAAAAGCTTTCGGTTTTTACATTAATTCTGACTTCTTCTTTTGAATTAGATGTATTTCGTTTCGCAAAGTCGCAAGTTGTTGAATAACACATTTCTATATATAAATATAGAGATTATATATAATAAAATCTAACAAAAGTCATATAACTTGAAAA